AAAGCTTCGTACTTATCTCTCTCTCTCCCTCTCTTTCTCTCTCTCTCTCTGTCTCTCTCTCTCTCTCTCTCTCTCTGTCTCTCTCTCTCTCTCAACATTATCAACATGACGTCTTTCTGTAATTGTTAACTATATGAAAGAAAAGAAAATAAACAACGTCAGTGAGATAACATACATAGATACTCGTTGAATAATGTGCTACTTGGGGAAAACATAAAAAAAAAAATTGGGAGAGAGAGAGAGAGAGAGAGAGAGAGAGAGAAAGAGTGAGAGAAAAAATAAAATAAAACAAAATAAAATAGAATTAGGAATAAAAGAGAATAGTGTTAAGAAACGATCGTAAAAGAAATTGCAACGACTTATTGCGAGAGTGAAAAATTATTATTATTATTATTATTATCATTATCATCAAAGTGTTCAAACGTCACGTTATCGTTCGTGAATGTTAGTGTAAGAAATGATTTTGGAGAATAAAAAATTTCATTTATAGGGAAGATCGTTTATAGTGCGAACGATTTGTTTCAAACATAACGTAAATATTCACGCTTCATGTTCACGCATTCACGTGCATATATATATATATATATATACATATATATATACATATATGAATGTATGTCAAACACACATATATATACCTACATGTACGTTTATTATAGACATGTGAATTTTTCTTTTTTTCCCTGGATTTTTTTCTGTATATATATACACACACACACATATATATATATATATTTTTTTTTCTTTTATTATTCCATCCTGTAAAATTATAAATTCCGCAGGTCGGTCGGTCTGTTAGCGAAATATGTACGTGCGTGACAATTCATGACACGAACGTTTCCTGATAAACACAATCAATGCGCGTAACCTTTCGAGGTGCGTTTTATCGGTGTTACAATAAATTGTTTCGAATCGTTCGTTCGCTCTTTCGTTCGTTCGTTCGTTCGTTCGTTCATTCGCGTTGACGACCTCACCGTCATTTTGTAGATACTGTAGAGAAAAGAGAAAGAGAGCGAGCGAGCGAGAGAGAGAGAGAGAGAGACAGTGAGAGAGAGAGAGAGAGAGAGAGAGAGAGAGAGTTAAAAACAATCAAGCGTCCTCATAAAATTGGGCAAACGCGAAAAACAAGAGCGTACAATCGATTCCTATCGACGCAGCACGCACATACACGTACATACACAAATACGAAGACGTGCGTTTATACATTGGCTTCGAAGCGAGTTCTCGAGAGGTTAACGACGCGTTGAGGGGGAAGAGGATCGATTTGCAATTGTAATGTCCGGACGGGGAGGCTTGACTTTTCATGGATGTCAACCAGCACGAAATACATATTTGCGTTTTATTTTTTTTTTCTTTTTCTCCGTGTTTATTTTTTTTCTTTCTTTTTTTTTTCTGCACGTGTTCGTTCCTTTCTTTCCTTTTCTTTCTTTTTCCTTTTTTTCTCTCTCTCTCGCTCTCTTCTCGTTTTCCTTTTTTTTCTTTTTTCTTTGTCGCTTTGGCTCATGATTTCGTCACTGGTCTTCCTTCTTTCGCGTCAAGCTCTTTTTCTGCTTTTTTTTCTTCCTCTTCTTCTTCTTCTTTTTTCTTTTTCTTTTTTTTATTAGCTTTTTTTTCTGCATTTTTTTCTTTTTTTTTTTTTTTTTTTTTTTTTCACGGATAAATCGACGATCCAAAACACCAAAACGCTTCCGAACGTTCACGAAGATTAATTTCGTTTTTGGAGTTTGAAGCTAACATATATTTTCATACACGTGACTTCCTTTCTAAATATATATGTATCTATCTATGTATATACGTATGTATGTATGTATGTATGTATATATGTATCTATCTATGTATATACGTATGCACGTATGTATGTATATATATATGTGAATAATAATATACGTCATTACGCCTGACAAGTACATTTGTGATGGTAAATATTTGCTTGGCGAGAGTAACAAAAGAAAAAGTTAGGTGAAAAAAAATGTATCCGAATTTTTGTAAAACGAAATAAGTGTTACGGCTGTTCAATAGTCGGAGTTGAGAAACTCTGATGCTTGAACTTAGTCCATTCGTCTTGAGATCGTCTACGAAACGACGGCTACTTTCTTTTCTCTCACGCTATGCGGAAATGGGATTGGTAGATTAATCGAATCTCATCCTAAAGATTTATCAACGTACATACAATATATTCAATATACGATATATATATATATATGTGTGTGTGTGTGTGTGTGTATCTATATATGGAAACATTCGTTATTTAGTAAAGCGCGATTAGTAAAGCGGGTTTATAAAATTGAGTACATCGTTAACAAAAACAATCTGAACTTTGATGAACTTGAAAATGAACTTTGATCATGTCGAACGTCAAAACTCTATGATTATAGAAATTTTTTTCCTTTCGTTTTGTTCCTTTCTCTTTCCATTTTTTACGAGAAAAAAAATGACGATTTGAGATTCAAGATGGACAATCATATATGATTTCGATGTCAAAGTTAATCATCACTTTTACTTATAATATAGATTATAAGATTAATGTCGTATAGGTCTGTCAAAAAAAAAAAAAAAAAAAAAAAACAGCACATAGCAAAACAAAAAAATACTATACAGTGTATAATATTATATAATAAACTCTATTGTGACTTCAAAGTTACAATTATTTTTTTTGTTTTGTTTAGTCTTTCCAAAATTTAACGTTAAAAAAAGAAAAATAATAATTGCATCTAAATTAATTCGTTAATTCATATTCGCAGATCAGATGTTTGCCGATGTCACGTCGATCATAATTTTCTTTTTTTTTTTTTTTTTTTTTTTAACGGAAAAGGAAATTAGATCGCGGATGAGTTAAGCCTATGAGTTTGAAGAGTATATAAAGCAGTTTTTTTTTTTTTTTTTTTTTTTCCTTTCAACGAAGATGCCGAAGAATATAATCTTTGTGAAAAACGAAGGATTCTAAATCGCGTGACGACACGAAGGATGAAAAATATGTAGAAGATGCGTGACTGCCATCAAGGATATATTTTTTACGCTTTGCTGCGTGTTAATATACAAAATGTCAACACTCGAAGAATATATATATATATATATATATATATATATATATATATATATACATACATAAATTCAACGAATTCTTCAGCCGTCAAGTCGCTCACGTCAGATCGACAATACCCAACGTTCTACCAGTTTTTTTTTCTTTTCTCATATAGAAAAGAAAATTTATATCTGAGTTCTTGAAAACAAGAAAGCAATAATAAAATAAGAAGAAAAAAAAATATATATATATATATAAATTATTTCAACGTGAGTCACAATCGTAATCAATTTAAAATCATTATATTTTTTGAGATTGATTGATCGTAATGAGTTATAATCTTTTATTATTATTTTTCTTTTAATAGTCAACATTATATATAAATGTCAATTTACTCTTCGTTTTAGATTTTATTTAGAATTTTCAAGAATACCACTAATTCATTTCCTATTTCTTTCAATCGTTAACATCGATAATGATATTCTATGATTGTCCTAATTTAATGCTAATTAAATATAAATAATGTCAATTCGTTTTTACAATTTTATATAAATTTAATTAAAATTTGACGAATTTTCTAATTCTTATTGTCTCATTAGAATTATTTAGAGATTATTATAAAGGTTCTTTAAATATTAAGAAGATGTATTAAGTTTTAAATAATAATAATAATCGTAAAGTAAATATGATAATTGTAAATCGTTTATCGAATTGACGTTTCACGAAGAAATTAGAAAGGATAGAAATAGATTGATCAAAATATATGTAGAATTTAATTAGCTATAAATATATTTTTAGATTATATCGGTTATTTATTAATTATAAATTATAAAAGCATAATTTATAGGTAAGTCTAATGAAAAGGAATTAAGGAATTAAGTTTTTCTTATCGTCAATCTGAAAATATTATTTCATTTCCAGTCAAAATAAATATAATTAAAAAACGATATTGTTTAATTCTCTATGTATAAATGATCGAATTTCAACTTTTACCTTTTGAAAGGTCAGTCAATCCATAAAGGTCATAGTTATATCTGTACGTTTGTTTACGAATTAGTAATGACATATCATATATCTTTGACATACATATATCATAATTCAGAATAATAAAATTTTGCAATGGAACACTTATAAATTACAATATTCAGCGAAAAAAAAGAAAAAAAAAAAAAAAGAGAGAAAGAAAAAACCATTTATAAAATAATAGATGTTAGTTCGCGTACGTGATAAACGAACACGTGTCACGTTGTTCAGTTGGACTTACAAAATATACATACGTATCAAAAGTAAATTACAATAACGTCGAATATATATAATCGTATATATAATGTTTCGTTACAAAAATTTCATTCATATTCGTTAGATCGTCCAATTATATTATTTATACTATTTTTACTGTTTAATAATATATATGAGTTTTCAAATCCATTTAATAATTCTTCATTGAACATTTATTTTATCTTTATTTTCTTGACAATATCGTTCACGTTCAAAAACGTTTTTTCCTTAATAGACAATTTCTTTTTTTTTTTTTTAAATATTCTTACCTATTAAATATTCTTAGAAAGGAATGAAGATAGTAACAAAACAGAAAAAGATATACATTGATATACAAAGCAAATGATCTAATCAGGATTCTAGTACGTCACTGGCAGATGGGTATAAAATCATCCGTAGTTCAGTCTCCTGATTAAGCCTGATTAATTGGAACAATGGTAAACAAGGTGGGATTGACGTTAACACGCCTGTACGTTTGATCTGCTCATGGTATTCTCTCTCCCTTCCTCACATTCTCTCACTCCTTCTCACTCTCCCCTCTCTCTCTCTCTCTCTCTCTCTCTCTCTCTCTCTCTCTCTCTCTCTCTCTACCACATCACTTTAGACTGCTCCCATATCTACAGTTGCCTTCAAGCTCGTTCAGGCACAGTAGTCATCTCTCTCTCTCTCTCTCTTTCTCTTTCTCTGTCTCTCTTGCCAAGGTAAATACGTTCGCAGCATGCAACGTTACAGAGGGGTTAATGATAATGTAAGTTCGCGTCTGGCAACCGCAAATCCGAGCGTCCTAACGCCGGTAAGTACCGGAACGGGAATTAGGCTGATTCTATTCCTATTTCCTGGCAATAATCCAAAACGCGTTGTTGAACTACTGCAAATTATATGTCTATATATATATATTATGTGTGTGTGTGTGTGTATGTGTGTATATTTAAATATATTTAGGTGGGTACAGACATGGATATAATATACGTATCCCATCTATTTTTAATCAACTCTAAAACCTTTAATGATGTCACATTTTATGTGTATATATGTATGTCTAAACACGTACACAAGTATGATATAGATATTCGTATGAATGATAGATATATATATATATATATATATATATATATATATGCATATATTTAAACATATGTATATTAACATGTATAGTCCCTATAAACATTCGTACATATAATATATATATATATATATATTTAAACATATGTATATTAACATGTATAGTCCCTATAAACATTCGTACATATAATATATATATATATATATATATATATATATATATATATTTGAACATATGTATATTAACATGTATAGTCCCTATAAACATTCGTACATATATATATATATATATATATATATATATATATATATATTTAAACATATGTATATTAACATGTATAGTCTCTACAAATATTCGTACATATAATATATATATATATATATTCAGATATATTTTATATATCCAAAGGTATGCACATAGATGTAGTATAAATATTATATATGATAAATAGATCTTTGATGGTATTGCGTTTTATAGTTTCAAAGTATATGTGTATGAGCGTGAAAGTGCATTTGCATCGAATATTTTTCGGGAGACTATGAGATCTAAACTCAATTTTTCAAATACAATCATTCTTCTTTCTTCCTTTCTCTCTCTCTCTCTCTCTCTCTCTCTCTGTCTCTTTCTGTCTCTTTCTCTTTCTTTCTATTTTTAGAAAAAATTCAATAGAATGAAAGAGAGAGAGAAAGAGAGGGAGAGAGTAAGAGAGAAAATGGGCGATGTATATACAAAAGATGGATCTAAGCTACAATATGCTCTTAAACTGATGAAACGTCTTTTCTCGTTTATATCTTTTCATATTTTTATCCGAGAATCGTGCTTGATTTAATAATGATATTTAATTTCATTATCTACGATAAATTATTTTGATAAAGATACGAATTGATATCATTAATATAGATTTTATAATCCAATTGAATTTCACTCAATTGTGTCGATATAGGATACGTAACGTTGAAACATGAAATACAAAAAAAAAAAAAAAAAAAAAAAAAGAAAAAAGAAAAAACAAAACAAAAGTACCTTCGGGATATTTATCTTTCTTTTTTTTTTTGTTCGCCAAATATATTCATGTATTGACATATTCTGTCAAATACATATATAGGCGGTAACCTTTTTTTCTTTTTCTTTTTTTTTTTTTTTTTTGTTTAGAATATCACGCAAATGCAATTGATTTCGTTCACGTTGGATGAAGAAAAATAAAACAAACGAAAAAAGGAAAAAAAGAAACAAACAAACGAAATTTCAATCTAAAGTAGTTGATGTTCTAATAAAACTAACAAACTAATAAACGAACGAACATATTGAAAAAAAAAAATAAGACAAGTGATAGATTTCGAATTAGATATATACAAATTTTAAAATTGAAATTGTTGTTGAGTTCGTTAGCACAGTTCGATAAATTCGTGTGCTTTCGTTTAATAGGAATGAAAAGATTTGGCAAATATTGTAAAACATAAATGAGAAAAAAAGATACGTATAAAAAAAAAAAAAAAAGAAACAGAAAAAGGAAGAAGGAAGAAAAAAAATAAAAATGAGAAAAAATCAATATTGGAATAAACAATACGTATAAATTATTGATTGCTGAAGAATCGCTGAGTTCGGATCATCGACCGATATATAATATACATATGTATATATACATATATATATATATATATATATATATATATATATATATATACATATGTATGTATACAATTTTCATAGTCCTCGTAGTTCGGATATTACTACGAACGAACATTGTTATACTGACAAACAACGTGATGTGTTATTCGACGAGTTATACTATGCGACGTGAAATTCTCCTATCGAAACCGCCGGTTAAATGCATCCAATGCATCCAATGCACCCACTGCTGTTACGTGTTGGATTTCGTGCAATAACGCAAGTACTCGAAAATTTTATGCTTCCTACGTAATCGCAACGTCTGCAATTTTGTCTGTTAATTGTCCGTTTTCGACGGGACGAGCAATTTAATCGCGAGATACAGTTTTAAACCACAATCTTAATATCGAAACGAGACTCGATAACGGATTTGTTCTCGGCCGATGTAAAAAAGAAAAAAAAAAAAAAAGAAAAAAAAGGAAGAGGAAGGAAAGAATGAAAAAGACAAACAAGAAAAAAAATTCTCCGATAGCAGATTATATACAGATAGTACATACACACACACACACATACACACACATATTTATTAATACAATCGTTAGCAACCAATAATAATCAATATCATGCTATTATCTCAGAGATATTATTGAACGCAACCAAATTACGTTTAATGTGACCATTCGAAGAATTCCGACAGCAACCAATAATAGAGAATATTAAATCGAGCAATATCTCAAGATATTAATTCGGAGGAAAATTATATCATTTTATATACATATATATATATATATATATATATATGTATTAATATATATATAATATGTATACATATAGGTTCCTTGGTCATAGGTTTTTATCATTCAATTGTATTTATTACTGTAATATTTTATACTGAAAATATATAATAATGAATCACATTGGAAAAATATTGTATTACACGATGTCTTTGCTAATGAGTAAATATATAAACAAAATTTTGATGAAATTAATCGGAAAAAGGAATAGATATCATTAATATTTTTCTACGAATTATTATTCATTTTATAAATTCTTTTCTTACGTTTGATATTTAATAAATACACGAATAACAATTATAAAGTCTTAATAAAAAGAAAATAATGAATAATTACTGTAAGAAGTATACATATACACATATATATATATATATATACTCGTTATATATACATACATATACATATATATATATATATATATATATGTTTCAAGTTAAGAAAAATTTTGTCACGAAATGAGACAGAACTGAAATTATATAGAACATAGAAGCGAAGTAGAAAGACCCTAGGGACTTTTCTCTGTGATTATAATTAAAAGATAAATGAATGCACTTGCACTTTTAGAGGAGATTATTAAAACGTTGCATTTCTCGAAGGAATCACAAATGTTTCAACGGGATTCAATAACAGAGTTCCTTCGTTGAGAAAATTACGACCTGGTTAGTTGTACTGTATATATATATATATATATATACATGCATACATATATATATATATATATATATATATATATATATATGTATAGTATATATCTGGCAAAGAAAAGCCCGTCGAATGCACTGTACTTTTATTCGCGACAATTAATTTCCGGTAACTTGGACAGTGGCACTTTATTACTCAGTGCCTTTCATTGAGAAAGAGAAAGAGAAAGAGAAAGAGAAAGAGAAAAAGAGAGAGAGAGAAAAAAAGAGAAAGAGAGAGAGAGAGAGAGAGAGAGAGAGAGAACGAAACAGTTGGCTATGCCTGATTTCGTTTTTCTCTTTTTCTCTCCCTTACTCCTGTGTAAATTTTCTTTCCTCCTTCCCCCCACCCTTTTTTCTTCCCTTTATCACGTATACTTTTACTAGGGACATTTGTCGACGTAATGAACAATACCTTAAATGGTACCTCAAACTCGTAGAAAAAGTTAACTTCCTTTAGTTCTATTTTATCGCTTGTTTCATTCGTTAGATCGAAATATTCTTAAGAATAAGAGATACATTTTAATTAGACCTTTGACAATTCATTTTATTTTATTTTTAATTTCGTTATTCGAATCATCCTTTTTTCCCCCCACCCCTCGCTCTTTTCTTTCCTTTCCTTTCCTTTTTTGGAGATATTTCAGATAATCACATATTATTCTTTGCGATTTTTATACATCCTCTTTCGAGTATTAAGACATATCAACGTTCTTAATCTAAGTTAATCTACAATTTTAAATATATGAGAAACAATTTAATCTATTTTAATTTTTCTCCTTTAAAAAATCAATATCCTTTTTATATTTTTTAAATAAAATATTACGTATACGTATGTATGTACAATTTTTAAATGACCTGGAAACTTTTTCTTCCATCTAGTAATTTTACGACAGATGATATGGAAAAAAAAAATATATATATATATACATACATACACATAAAAGTGAATATATGAAAAGAGGTGGAAAATTTCATGGAAAATATAGAAACAGTTCGTGTCCTGACTTTCTTTTCCTGTCTGTGTCCTGTCATTTGCGATGTAGCGAAAAATATCTATGGAAGTAAGTACCTTATCACGGAAAAGAGAGAAGCTCTTTCGAAATATTCTCCCTCTCCCTCTCCCTCCCTCTCTCTTTCCCTCTCTCTCTCTCTTTCTATATCCTACCATAACGACGTCCATTCGGACCTTTTATACGATCTATAAGAACGACCGCCATCATCGAAAACGTTTCTCGTATATCGTAATTTTTTGAGAAACAATCAGAGATTCAAAGACATTAAAGATCTGCCGCAAAATGAATATCGTGCATTCCTTCATAATTCGTATTTTTATCTAATATGAGATATTAAAACGATCGAACATGTACATTATGTACGTATCTCTATCGACGATATATGTATCTGTGTAAATAAGTGAGTATATGTAAAAAGAAAAAAAAAAGATAAAGAAAGAGATAGGGAGATGGAGAGAGAGAGAGAGAGAGGGAGAGAGAGAAAGAGAGAGAGAGAGAGAGGGTGGATGAATTTGATGGGTGAATAATCGAAGTTGATTCATTGAAATGCGTTTTAATCGAGATAATACATGAACATTTTTTGACTCACGAATGAAAGATAAATTAGTATTATTTCTGTATGCACCTGATAAAAA